TATTATACCCTATAAAGGCTACACCTTTACTGAGACATAATTCACCCACTTAATGTGTACAACTTCCTTTTCTTTTCTTTTTTTGAGACGGAGTCTTGCTCTGTTGCCCAGGCTGGAGTGCAATGGCGTGGTCTTGACTCACTGCAACCTCTGTCTCCCGGGTTCAAGCAATTCTCCTGCCTCAGCTTCCTGAGTAGCTGGGATTACAGGCACGTGCCACCACACCCAGCTAATTTTTGTATTTTTAGTAGAGATGGCGTTTCACCACATTGGCCAGGCTGGTCTCGAACTACTGACCTCAGGTGATCCACCTACCTCAGCCTTCCAAAGTTCTGGGATGACAGGCATGAACCACCGTGCCCAGCAACTGTACAGCTTGCTAACTTTTAGTATATTCACAGACTTGTGCAACTATCACCACAATCTATTTTTTGACTATTTTATCACCTCAAGAAGAAACCTGGCTGGGCACGGTGACTCACGCCTGTAATTCTAGCACTTTGGGAGGCCGAGGCAGGAGGATCACGAGGTCAGAAGATTGAGACCATCCTGGCTAACATGGTGAAACCCCGTTTCTACTAAAAATACAAAAAATTAGCCAAGCATGGTGGCGGGTGCCTGTAGTCCCAACTACTCGGGAGGCTGAGGCAGGAGAATGGCCTGAACCCAGGAGGCAGAGCTTGCAGTGAGCCGAGATCACGCCACTGCACTCCAGCCTGGGCGACAGAGCGAGACTCTGCCTCAAAAAAGCAAAACAAAACAAAAGAAACCCTGTAACCATTGGCAGTTACTTCCCCATTCTTCTATCTCTAAGTCACCACCAAATTCCTTTCTGTCTCTAGTCTCTAGGATTTGCTTTTTCCAGTATTTCATAAAAATAATACAATGTGAAGCTTTTGTGTCTGGTTTCTTTCACTTAGCATAATGTTTTCAAGGTTCACTGATACGTTGTATCATTTATCAGTACCTCATTCTTCTTTATAACCAAATAGTATTCCATGATATGGATATACTGCATTTTATTTATCCATTCACCAGTTGACGAACATTTTTGATTGCTTCCATTTTTTTGGCTGTAATGAATAGTGTTGGTATGAACACCTGTGTACAAGTTACTGTGTGGATAAATGTTATACCTAGAAGTAGAACTGCTGAGTCACAAGGGAACTCTAAGTTTGCCATTTTGATCAAACTGTTTCCCAAAGAGGCTGCAACATTTTACATTTCCCCCAGCAATGTATGAGAATATGAATTTATAGAGAAAATTTAAGTGTCAATACTAATGTATTTTAAAATGCTGTTATAAAGGAAAGCCAACAGACTACTTTGGAAAGGGCCTCCCTCACTTGGGGTGGCAGTCATTGGTTAATGCTGTCTAACATTTACCAAGTGCTTACTACTATTCCAGGCACTTGTAACTTACATTTCATCAAATATCAGGCACCATCAACTATTTAACATAACATTGTTTTATGTACCCTTATGATACAGTTTGGATTTGGGTCCCTGCCCAAATCGCATGTCAAATGGTAATCCCCAGTGTTGGAGGTGGGGCCTAGTGGAAACCGGATCATGGTTTCTCATGGCTTAACACCATCCCCCTTGGTGCTGTCATCGTGTTAGTGAGTTCTCATGAGATCTAGTTGTTTTCAAGTGTGTAAGCATTTTCCCCAAATCTCTCTTGCTCCTTTTCCTGCCATGTAAGACGTGTCTGCTTCCCCCTGGCCTTCTGCCGTGATTATAAGTTTCCTGAGGCCTCCCCAGAAGCAGAAGCCACTGTGCTTCCTGCACAGTCTACAGAACCACGAGCCAATTAAACCTCGCCCAGGCTGGAGTGCAATGGCGCATCTCAGCTCACCGCAACTTCCATCTCCCAGGTTCAAGCCATTCTCCTGCCTCAGCCTCCCAAGCAGCTGGGATTACAGGCATGCGCCACCATGCCCAGATAATTTTGTATTTTTTGTAGAGTCAGGGTTTCTTCATGTTAGTCAGGCTGGTGTCAAATTCCCGAACTCAGGTGATCCGCCTGCCTCAGTCTCCCAAAGTGCTGGAATTACAGGACTGAGCCACTGCACCCGGCCTTAAACCTCTATGTTTATAAATTACCCAGTCTCAGGTATTTCTTTATAGCAGGGTGAGAACATACTAACACACCTTGGGAAACAAAAACCTCTGCCAATTAAATTATGACATGCCATCCACCAAAAGATGTATCCTGATTTCACAGATGTTAAAAATGTGGGGAAAAAATAGATCATAGAATTAATGAAATACAGTTATCTACACCGATTAACTTCTTTAGTCTTTGTAACCCTAGGAAAAGATTTTGCAGGTGAAGAACCTGAGGCACAGAGATTACATAAGAAAGATTTGAACTCTGGTTGATTGTTCTTAAATACTCACAGGTTGAGAGATTTTGTCCTTACTTTTTCCTTATCAGAATAAAGGAAGTAAAGCCCAGTGACTTAACATATGGGCTTATAACAGCCATATGGAATCTGGTTCCATTTAACTTCTAAGCCTCAGCTCACTCATTTATTAGGGTGGTTATGAAGACTTTTGGGAAAAGCATATAAAATTCCTAGCACAAAACAAGTGACAGCTGCTACCGTCATTATTTAATAGTAAAAATAAACTTTTTTTTTTTTATTAATAGTAAACATATTATTTTACTACATATAGTAAATAGTAAAATAGAGAACGGTTCCTATAAGAGCTCTTTTCTTCCTTTCCCCTTATTTCCACGAATAAAACAAAAAACAAAATAAAACAAAATCCAAGGCCGGGCACAGTGGCTCAAGCCTGTAATCCCACAGCACTTTGGGAGACCAAGGTGGGCAGATCACGAGGTCAGGAGATCGAGACCATCCTGGCTAACATGGCCTGAACCCGGGAGGCGGAGAATAGCCTGAACCCGTGAGGCGGAGCTTGCAGTGAGCTCAGATCGCGCCACTGCACTCCAACCTGGGCGATAGAGCGAGACTCTGTCCCCAAAACAAAAAACAAAAAACAAAAACAAACAAAAAAAATTAGCCGGGCGTGGTGGCAGGCGCCTGTAGTCCCAGCTACTCAGGAGATTGAGGGAGGAGAATGGCGTGAACCTAGGAGGTGGAGCTTGGAGTGAGCTGAGATTGCGCCACTGCACTCCAACCTGGGCGACACAGCAAGACTCCGTCCCCCAAAACAAACAAACAAACAAAAAAATCCAACTGTCCATCAACAGCTGAATGAGAAAACAAAATATGGTCTATACTTAGAATGGAATATTATTCAGCCTTAAAAACAAATTCTGACACATGCTTTAACATGAATGAACCTTGATGACATTATGCTAGGTGAGATAAGCCAGACACACAACGACATTTTATGATTCCACTTACATGAGGTTTATGAATTAATCAAATTTAGAGAAACAAAAACAGTGGTTACCAGAAGCTGGGAGCAGGGAATAATGGGGAGTTATTGCTTAATGGGTATGAAGTTTCAGTTTGGGAAGGTGAGAAAGTTCTATAGACAGATAATGGTAAAGGTTAAACAACAAGGTAAATATACTGCCACTGAACTGTACACATAAAAATGATTACAATGGTAATTTTATGTCATGTATATTTTATCATAATTAAAAAAAATCAACCAGACTTATCAGAAAATAGATGTACATAAACAATAGACTAATAGGCACCCCATAATGCTAGGTGAGCCAAAATCACCCTGGAACTTTCATTATCATATCTATTCTTAAACTGGAATAACCAATAGGTTGAATGAACAAATTCTAGAACATTCTGAGTGACTGCTATCATATGCTCAAGGGACACTACACTATTGGAAACTACTAATATATAGGTGTATAAGACATGGTCCTTGACTCAGGAGCATAGAAGCTAAAAAAAGATACATATCCAAAATAATACATGAGTTGGAACTATATTTGTGTTGTCACTATATAAACTGTATAAAATGCTATTGAGAGAGGAGAGGGAGAAACATTTGATGAACTCAGCTTAAAGAAGAAAGTGATACTCGGGCCTCATAGAAAACTACAATTTTAAATAATAGGGGCAAAGATTTAAGCGAAACTGATAGAAAGTTGTGGAAGAATAAGCATCATCTACAAATAAACAATCTAAGATGGAAAATAAGACCCACATTGTGGGTGGAAGTGGTAGAAGATTAGAGTGGGAAACAAGATTGGGGTCAGGTTCTAGGAGGTTTAAAGTGTCAAGCCATGGAGTTTAGACTTTATTCAGGGAAAGAAAAGCAGCATGATCAAAACTGCACTCTAGGAATATTTCTAGACCAACACTGCAGAGAATGAGTATAAGTGGCAAAGATGGAAGGGTGATTAAATAACAGACAAAATAGGGAATAAAGTTGAATGCCTAAAGTGCTGATGACAGTAAAAGCAGAGACATAAAGGAAGTGGTTCAATCAAAAAATAAGTTTAGGTTGGGTCCCCATGTTGTACATGATCTTAGGGTATTCCATTCTCCCTTTCAACATTTATCACAGTTGCAATTCCATGCTCAGTTTTTTTCCCCACTATAATGTGAGCTCTATGAAAGGAGGAACAGTGTAAGTCTTAGTTACTGCTATATTCCTTGGCACAAAGTACTCAAATAATGACTGAATGAAGAAGCTAGTCTCCTAAAACACATACTTCTTTGAGTCAAGTAAGAACCTCTGTCTATGTGTAAAAGGGCTCTCTAAATTTGGGAACACTGACAAGTATTTCTAGATCTAGCATATGAGCCATTGTCAGATGTACATCCTATTCCAGTTTTGAGCCATTAATGGCTGCCTTTGGGTAAGTTTGCTTTTCATTCTAATTTCAGAAGCAAGCCATCTGCCATTACCTAAAATACTGTCCACATCAAATTTACACAGTAAACAACTCATAAAGCTGTGACTTTAATAAGCCTTAAAATATATATTAATAAAAAGAGGTCAGAAATATAAAATATTTTATAAGTTCATGCACAAAAATAGGCTTACAGTACCTTAGGGGGATTAAATGGGTATGTTTCTGGTATTTTTATCTCTAGTTGATATCTTCCTCCTAAAAAAATGGGGAAAACAAAGTTAAGAATGCTGCTCAATTCAAATATGTAAAACAAATATATTGATGAACTTTTCAGAGCAGCTATTTCATATTCAATTAAATAAATTCATTTTAAAGTTGAAACCCAGAAAGAAAGTAATCAAAAGCACTAGTTTTTAATTTAAAGGTTGTTTAAAGCATACAGAATATCCACTTCATACAACTATATTAGTTTATCAGTGAGTAACAAGGCTAGAGATAAATACATTAAATCCAGACAATGCAACGTCAACATTTCATCAGGACAATTAACTATTAGAGTTCTAATCTCCCACTGTGTCCTCTAATCCACCCTGTTAAGAATTGCTAAATAACAAACAAAAAAAGGGTCAGAAAAAAAAGAAGAAAGAAAGAAGGCAAGGAGGGATGAAAGTATAGATGATACAAAGGACAGAGACTATGCCATAAACAAAATTCTACTTCTGGCTGCTTCTTGCAAATGAAATAAGGTCCCAAATCTTTTCATTTGTGCCCTAAATTAAATGTCAATACTTATTTGTTAACATTTTATTTGTGCAATTAAATTGTAATTACTTTTGTACCAGCCTAAAAAAAACAAGCTAGGTCCATGGCTAATTAATGCCTGCAGTCTCAACACTTTGGGAGGCTGAGGTGGGAGGACTGCTTAAAGCTAGGCCAGGAGTTTGAGTACAGCCTGGTCAATACAGCAAGACTTTGTTTCTATTTTAATATAAAAAACTTTAAATATATTTTTTATTTTTTAAACAAAATTCAACAAGAGAGATAGACATAAAGACAAACTATTCCTTTATTTTATTTATTTATTTATTTATTGAGACGGAGTCTGACTCTGTTGCCCAGGCTGGAGTGCAGTGGAGCGTGGTCTCTGCTCACTTCAAGCTCCGCCTCCTGGGTTCACGCCATTCTCCTGCCTCAGCCTCCCAAGTAGCTGGGACTACAGGCACCCACCACCACGTCTGGCTAATTTTTTGTGTTTTCAGTACAGTTGGGGTTTCACCATGTTACCCAGGCTGGTCTCGATCTCCTGACCTCGTGATCCACCCGCCTCGGCCTCCTAAAGTGCTGGGATTACAGGCGTGAGCCACCGCACCTGGCCCAAACTATTCCTTTAAATGGGTTTATAAAATGCAAAATTTTACCAAGGAGCTTTTCTAACCAGTAATATACAAATAGAAGGCAACTTTTTGTTTTGTTTTGAAGTTATCTGGAGCAACTAGCATCTATACAGCATTTTTAAAAAGCTTATCTAGGTCGGGCACAGTGGCTCACACCTGTAATCCCAGTACTTGGGAGGCCAAGGGGGCGGATCACAAGGTCAGGAGAGTGATACTATCCTGGCTAACATGGTGAAACCCCATCTCTACTAAAAAATAGAAAAAATTAGCCAGGCATGGTGGCAGGCACCTGTAGTCCCAGCTACTTGGGAGGCTGAGGCAGAAGAAAGGCGTAAACCGGGAGGTGGAGCTTGCAGTGAGCCAAGATCGTGCCACTGCACTCCAGCCTGGGCAACAGAGCAAGACTCCATCTCAAAAAAAAAAAAAAAATTATCTAGCATCTAGCTTCTCACAACTGGGGTACTCAAGACTCAAGGAGAGGATAATTGCCTCTTAAGAAACTCTGGGCCGTGCACAATGGCTTATGCCTGTAATCCCAGTACTTTGGGAGGCTGATGTGGACAGATCACTTGAGGCCAGGAGTTCAAGACCAGCCTGACAAACATGGTGAAACCCCATCTCTACTAAAAGTACAAAAATTAGCTGAGTATTGTGGCATGTGCCTATGATCCCAGTTACTCGGGAGGTTGAGGCACAAGAATCGCTTGAACCCAGGAGGTGGATATTGCAGTGAGCTAAGATCGCACCACTGCACTCCAGCCTATGTGACAGAGCGAGAATCTGTCTCAAATAATAAACGGAACAGAACAGAAAAAAGAAAAGAAAACTCTGAAGGGGTAGTCTTGCACTGGATGAGAGGCTGGATTCAACTCTTAACTCTTAAGAGTTTAAGCATCTTCTAAGATTTTATGACCAATTACTAATAACAAAATACTATTACAAAATACAGTAAATAAAACTGTTCTATTGAAATATTTATATATAAGACTATGAGATTTTATTTCAAGATAATCAAAGAATACATTAGATCAAAGATGGCCATGAGCTGATAGTTATTAAAGCTGGCTGAAGAGGTTGCATTATATTCTTTTTTTTTTTTTTTTTTTGAGACGGAGTCTCACTCTGTCACCCAGGCTGGAGTGCAGTGGCGCCATCTTGGCTCACTGGACGCTCCACCTCCCAGGTTCACGCCATTCTCCTGCCTCAGCCTCCCGGGTAGCTGGGACTACAGGCGCCTGCCACCATGCCCGGCTACTTTTTTGTATTTTTAGTAGAGACAAGGTTTCACCGTGTTAGCCAGGATGGTCTTGATCTCCTGACCTCATGATCCACCTGCCTCAGCCTCCCAAAGTGCTGGGATTACAGACATGAGCCACCTCGCCCGGCCTATTCCTTTTTAAATATCTGAAACTCCCTGTAATAAAAAGTAAAATAAAAAACTGTGTGCTAGTAGCATTATTATCTTCAAAATTCTATACACTCAGTTCTTTAAAAAGTCAAACAGGAGACTTTCTTCAGTATATTCTAGACTCTCTCAAATGTATCTCCTTACTACTCCATTGTTATGAATGGATGGATAACTATGAATCTGAGGAAAAAATAAAAGTGGTACTATTTTCTTCAAGCCCTTTTTGGTTTGAATCCCTCTTTTCTTCTTCTTCCTCTTTTTCTTTTTTTTTCTGAGACGGGGTCTCGTTCTGATGCCCAGGCTGGAGTGTAGTGGTAAAATCTTGGCTCACTGTAACCTCCACCTTTCAGGTTCCAGCAATTCTCATGCCTCAGTCTCCTGAGTAGCTGGGATTACAGGTGCCCACCACAACGCTCAGCTAATTTTTGTATTTTTAGCAGAGATGGGGTTTCACCATGTTGGTCAGGCTGGTCTTGAACTCCTGGCCTCAAGTGATCTGCCCACATCAGCCTCCCAAAGTGCTGGGATTACAGGCAAGAGCCATTGTACCTGGCCTCTCTTCTTGCTATTTTTGAGATGGATTCTCACTCTGCTGCCCAGACTGGAGTGCAATGGTGCGATCTTGGCTCACTGCAACCTCCACCTCCCAGTTACAGCAATTCTCCTACCTCAGCCTCCTGGGTAGCTAAGACTACAGGTGTGTGCCACCATGCCGGCTAATTTTTTAATTTTTTAAAGTAGAGATGGGGTCTCACCACGCTGGCTAAGCTGGTCTCGAACTCCTGACCTCAAATGATCTACTCGCCTCAGCCTCCCAAAGTAATGGGATTACAGGCATGAGCCATTATGCCCAACCACTAGTTCTTTTTAATATAATCCCATAGTGATTAATGCATGAGTTGAACTAAATGCCTGAATCGCAGAACATATAGTAACAATAATGAAACTTAAAGAAAAGTAGTGGAAAGAAAAAAAAAAAAAAAACTGACACGTAAGAGAAGGGTACCTGAAGAAATAATATAATCCCATAGTGATTAATGCATGAGTTGAACTAAATGCCTGAATCGAAAAACATATAGTAACAATAATGAAACTTAAAGAAAAGTAGTGGAAAGAAAAAAAAAAAAAAAACTGACACGTAAGAGAAGGGTACCTGAAGAAATTTTGTGACTATAACCGTCTATACCCAGAATTAGAAATGCTAGCTTCAAATATAGTTATAATAAATTTGGCTTCGGCACTACATAGGCTTTTCTTTTTCCTTCCTAAGAATTATTTTTTTCTGATTAAACTCCAGATTACCATCTCTATAACCCATCATACAAAGTTCTTGTTAATGGCCAAAATAATCTCTTAGGAGCAGTGTGAGGGCCCAGAGATACTATATAAATAATGCTGGACTCACGAGTCTCTAAAATCTTATTTCTATTTCTATCCCTTATGTTACATGCTCTGACAACTTTCAATATACGACCACTTAGCATTAATCATAGCATCATCTGATCAGGGTAATATGACTAATGATAACTATATTATTCACATTATAATAGTTTTTACTATAAAACATTAACTTCTTGAAGAATAGCTTTTAATATTAAAAATTAACCATCTTTAAATTTAACTTAACCCAAAGAGGAGATGGGGAAGGAATGAGAATTTTTAAGCTGTCAACAATGATTCCATAAACCTAAAAGAAATTTTAGGAAGAAAAGCTCAAGAACTAAACTGTTCCTTTGTCACTGATTAAGGCAAAAGAAGTGAAGAAAATTGAGTTAAGTAATATCTACAATATGGCATTTTCCCGTGAGTACTCTACTTCACAATCTGATTCTTTAAATACTATAAAACAGCTGCCTCATTACTTAATAATGGTCATAAATAGTTTAACATTCCACATGTGAACTTTTGCCTTAGCATTTAAGTTTAGATTTTTAAAAACTCAAAAAACTGCAACATCCTTGCAATAAATATTTAACCTACCGTTATATTTAAAAGAAAAAGCATTAAAGTTTATGCCCTTGAATGGTACTTTTCCTTAACAAAATGAACTTCTCTCAACAGTTTTACATAAAATAATAGAATTAAAGTTAGTCTACCTCAAACATATACCAAAAAGCATATTAAATCTAATCTCATCAAGATACTCATTTAGCAGCAGCAGCAGCAGAAATAAGCACTTTTTTTTGAGACGCAGTCGCCTTCTCTCGCCCAGGCTGGAGTGCAGCGGTGAGATCTCAGCTCACTGCAACCTCCGTCTTGTGGGTTAAAGGGATTCTCCTGCCTCAGCCTCCTGAGTAGCTGGGATTACAGGCCCACACCACAGCACCCAGCTAATTTTTGTATTTTTAGTAGAGATGGAGTTTCACCACGTTGGTCAGGCTGGTCTTGAACTCCTGACCTCGTGATCCACCTGCTTCAGCCTTCCAAAGTGCTGGGATTACAGGCATAAGCCACCCCGCCCAGACAGAAATAAGCACTTTTAAATGACCAAACTTTTGGCCCCATTCTCGGTATCGGGAAAAAGAAAAGAAAAAAATGACCAAACTTGCTTCTAACCAATAAAGAATATATCTTTTTTATTTTTTATTTTTTTGAGACAGAGTCTTGCTCTGTCGCCCAGGCTGAAGTGCAGTGGCATGATCTCCGCTCACTGCAACCTCTGCGTCCCGGGTTCACACCATTTTCCTGCCTCAGCCTCCTGAGTAGCTGGGACTACAGGCGCCCGCCACTACACCCGGCTAATTTTTTTGTATTTTTAGTAGAGACGGGTTTCACCATGTTAGCCAGGATGGTCTCGATCTCCTGACCTCGTGATCCACCTGCCTCAGCCTCCCAAAGTGTTGGGATTACAGGTGTGAGCCACCGCACCCAACCATAAGAATATATCTTAATATATCTTAATGTATATAAGTATACATTATCCATTTTAAAAAATTAATCTACCTATTAAATATTGCTTCTAATTTAGCTCAGGAAGTGCCTTGTTTATAAAAATCAGTTAAAAAATTTAAAACTTTGCCGGCAGACCTCTAAAATAATGTCATTGCCCTACTATCTTCCAAAAATACTTCAAAACAATCTAAAAAAAAAAATTCAAGAATAACTGTAAGGCTTGTCTTCAAGAAGAAGCTAATATTACATAAAAACATCTGCTATTAGGACAACCACCTGATTTTCGTAAGATAACTAAAGGTCTCCTCTACATTTAATGATTGTAAAAAAGACTAAATGAAATAGCATCCATGAAAATGGCCAGACCAAGCAAGGCAGATAGGAAGCACTCAATAAACAGCATAAAAAATTAAATATCTAGAAATGGCTCATATTAACTATAAAACAACAAATAAAATTTTATCACTTAAGAATTGGTACAAGGTTGGGCACAATGGCTCATGCCTAGAATCCCAAGACTTTGGGACACTAAGGCAAGAGGATTGTTTGAGGCCAGGGGTTTGAGACCTGCCTGGGTAACTTGGCAAGATGCCATCTATCCAATAAAGAAAGAAAAAACGGGCCGGGTGCGGTGGCTCATGCCTGTAATCCCAGTACTTTGGGAGGCCGAGGTGGGCAGATCACAAGGTCAGGAGTTCAAGACAAGCCTGGCCAATAATGTGAAACCCTGTCTCTGCTAAAAATAAAAAAAATTAGCCGGGCATGGTGGCGGGGGCCTGTAGTACCAGCTACTCGGGAGGCTGTCAGGAGAATCACTTGAACCCAGGAGGTGGAGGTTGCAGTGAGCCAAGATCGCACCACTGCACTCCAGCCTGAGCGACAGAGTGAGACTCTGTCTCAAAAAAAAAAAAAAAAAGAAAAAAATGAATAAACAGAATTGGTATAATATGCTAAAGACATTCTAGGGTCTTCAACAATCTGGATTAAGAACAAGAAAATATTCAAAAATAATAGATTTTAAAAAAGTGTTTTGGGTAGCTGGGCGCAGTGGCTCACACCTACAATCCCAGCACTTTGGGAGCTTGCGGTGGGTGGATCATGAGGTCAGGAGATCGAGCCCATCCTGGCTAACAAGGTGAAACACCATCTCCACTAAAAAAACACACAAATAAATTAGCCAAGTGTGGTGGCGGGCACCTGGAGTCCCAGCTACTCGGGAGGCTGAGGCAGGAGAAAGGCATGAACCTGGGAGGTGGAGCTTGCAGTGAGCCAAGATCGCGCCACTGCACTCCAGCCTGGGCAACAGAGCGAGACTCCATCTCAAAAAAAAAAAAAAAAAAAAAAAAGAGGTTTTGGGTAAACTGTTCATTACAGAATTATAGAACCACTCAAAAGTATTTAGCTGGCAGCTGGGGGTGGTGGCTCATGCCTGTAATCCTAACACTTTGGGAGGCTAAGGCAGGCGTATCACCTGAGGTAAGAAGTTCAAGACCAGCCTGGCTGTTATTGTGAAACTCCGTCTCTACTAAAAGTACAAAAATTATAGCCGGCATGGTGGTGCACGCCTGTAATCCAAGCTACTCGGGAAGCTAAGGTAGGAGAATCACTTGATTCTGGGAGGTGAGGTTGCAGTAAGCCAAGATTTCACCACCGCACTCCAGCCTGGGCAACAGAGAGACTCAGTCTCAAAAAACAAACAAACAAAAATTAACAACAAACACATATGAAGTATTTAACTGGATGTGGTGGCATGCACCTGTAGTACTAGCTACTGAGGAAGCTGGAGGATTACTTGAGCCTAGGAATTCAAATTTATAATGAGCTATGACCATGCCACTGCTCTCCAGCCTGGGTAACAGTAAAACTTTGCATCTAAAAAAATAGATAACAAAACAAAATAGACATCACCACCACTTCCAATATTAAGTGAATTCTGATTTACATAAAGTGATTAAAAGCACAGGCTTTGAAGGCAAAGCCTATCCGTTGTGCTAAGATGGTTGACCTTAGACAAGTCACTTCTCTGAACTTGTTTCTTCATCTATGAAACAGCAAACATTGTATTTACCTAATAAGATTTGCTGAAAGGATTAAATGAGAAAATACATGCAAAGATTGCATAATTAGGGTTACCATATATTCTGTTATGTTTTCTAATAAACAAATATTTGAATAGCTATTAATGCAAGAACCTTGGTTATATGCTGTATAACCTAAATTTACAATAATATTAATTAACGAAGACTCACCTAATAAGAAAGTAAAATGCTATAAGGCTTATTTCTGTATCTTACCACCCAACTCCATGGTCTAAAGTAGCTACAGAGTTAATTTGTGAACACCAAGTTCAGCAAAGCCACCTCCTTTCTATGTGTCTTGAAATGATCACTAAAAGCTTTCCTGAATAAAGAAAACATTTGGACTACAGCCTGTATGAAGACATATGAGTGAATGAAATGCTAAATGACAGAAAGAAGAACTTTAAAAACAAAAGCAACATTTCACCAGTGAGATATTTAAGGCAAGGTCTGTTTTAGATACCATATGAAGGGTAACTGAGTGTCTATAGTCCATATAATTTAGAGGTTTACCATGCCAGATCTTTTATTCTATTAAATTCTAACCTATAATACCTGTAACAAAGCTCTGCTAAACTTTTTGTGGAAAGAAAAAAATTAGCTAAAATTCAGTAAGAAATACCAGTCTATATTAAGTATCTAAATTTAGTATTTTTAAAATTGCTGTTTATCTAAACCAAATGAAGTTACCCTCCATATAATTTATAGATGTTTAAGATTATTCTGATTTAATGTTTTAGACAAGTTCTAATACGCACAATATTTTGATACAGAAAAAAGTACTTGCCTTCATATGGTGTGTCTGGAGGTCCTGCTATTTCTCCTCTTAATTCTGTAAAATTCTCATCTACAAGATCTACTTTAATTTGATTTTTGCTCGTCTTAAAAATAAACAGAAAATAAATGTTAGTATGTCAGCAAGAAAAACGCCTAAAGTATTACCTATAAAAATTTTTGAAACTCCCCCCTTTCATAAACTTGATTATCTGCTCTAGTAAAGTAAGTCTGGGCTTTTCTAGGACTTAATTGGCCAGTTTTAAGAATATTTAAAACAAACTAATAAATTTTAACTTCAATGTTTTAAATGAAATAACACCACTTTGAACAATACAATGGCTTCTTGAATTTCTAGGAATGTCATGAGAGAAAAATAGTATAAAACCTATTTTATGTTTGCCAATTCCATGTATATTAGGTCCAAAGTGATTAATCATCCACAGATGAACGCTAAGATACTATATTCTGAACTATACCCCCAGGATACATGAGTTCTGCTTATATAAACAGAAAATTCAGGGTAATTAAAAGCCATTTAGGCCATAAACTCTCACTTGAACCAACCATAATAACGCTAAATGTTTAGTTTAACTGACTGAAATAGTACACTATCCACCAGAATGATGAAAGCTCTAGCTATGTAACAGATTCTCCTTTCCATGAAAATTCCAAAGGACTAAATGCCTCAAAAGAATCTAAGGCCTTCTTCAATTTGTTTTTCTGCTTAGTTTATTAAAATGGCAACTACCTACTTCCAAAAACCAGATTTCTACTTTACATTTATCTACACTGACTTATTTTGCACTTTATACTACTCCAAGTACTCTCCTATCTATAGCATTACTGAATCTCTTAATCTTATGACAGTCCATTCTCAGAGCCATGATAACCTTAAATGAGTCAGAAAACCATCCCAGTGGGATTCACATTAACATTCATAAGTGCCTGCCTGCAAATGGGCTCTCCACTTATATTCTCAAACCTATGTTAAAAATACAGTAAATCCTCTCCTCTCAATTTTTTAAACCAAAATCCCTAAAGTACAAGTTATATCTTCTTTTTTTTTTTTTTTGAGACGGAGTCTTGCTCTTGTCACCCAGGCTGGAGTGCAATGGCACGATCTCGGCTCACTGCAACCTCTATCTCCTGGGTTCAAGCAACTCTCCTGCCTCAGCCTCCTGAGTAGCTGGGATTACCGGCACCCACCACCATGCTCAGCTAATTTTTGTAATTTTAGTAGAGACGGGGTTTCACCATGCTGGCCAGGCTTGTCTCAAACTCCTGACCTCATGATCCTCCCATCTCAGCCTCCCAAAGTGCTGGGATTATAGACCTGAGGCACTGCGCCCGGCCTATATCTTCATTTTTTTGGTTAGAATTCCATATTGTTACCTGATTGACACAACGTATCTACTCTTATGAAACAAAGCCTCACTCAAGATTTCAAAAGTGAAGTTTTTTGCTTTTAGATTGACTTTCTTAAACTTGATTACTGGATGAAACGGTGTAAGAATTACTGTTTTAAAGGTCTTTGGCTTCCTCCTCCAACCCAAAAAAATACACAATTTTTACTCTTTTACTATGTTAAATATTTTTTAGTACAGAACACTTAGTTCAGAAACAATACATTACTTAAAATCCTAATTTTTCAAAGTTCACATCATTCCTAATTAATCCTGTCTTTTAATAAAAACACAGGATTTAAAAACTTACTTTCTAATTAGTATTGTTTTTTCATGTTTTTCTGAAAATATTTTTATCCAAAAACTAAATTTAACTATAAATATGTACAATAAGAAACTACTTCTTATGCCCTAAAAAATCATTAACAACCTTGGTATTTGTGGTAGAGGAGAAAATGTACATTTTAGCAACAGTAAAAATACTTTGATGGCCAGGCACGGTGGCTCACAAGGTCAGGAGATCGAGACCACGCTGGCTAACACGGTGAAACCATGCCTCTACTAAAAACACAAAAAAATTAGCCAGGCGTGGTGGCGGATGCCTGTAGTCCCAGCTACTCGGGAGGCTGAGGCAGAATGGCATGAACCCGGCAGGCGGAGCTTGCAGTGAGCCAAGATCGTGCCACTGCATTCCAGCCTGGGTGACAGAATGAGACTGCGTCTCAAAAAAACCAAAAAAAAACAAAAACTTAATTGGGTGTGGCGGTGCACACCTGTAGTTCCAGCTACTCGCCAAGCTGAGGCAGGAGAATCGCTTGAACCCAGGAGGTGGAGGTTGTAGTGAGCCGAGATCGTGCCACTGCACTATGGCATAGCCTGAGTGAAAGAGCAAGACTCCATCTCAAAAAAAAGAAAAGAAAAGAGAATTGTCTAGTTAAATTATGCATAAATAATGTTAAAAAGAAAATTGGAGGCATTCAACTTTCACTGACCAATTTAAGAAGCCAGTGTTAACTTAGAATACACTTAAATTTCTCCTCTTAAGGCTTCTTACAAGAATAATCATCTTGCTAATCATCAATGCTTTCAAACATCTCGATAGCTTTCCATAATCTCCCCTCCAAAAAGTAGTATGTAAATAACCCAAAGATGTTAGGATACTAAAGGATCTGATTAACGTTTTTTTGGGAAAGGAGGAGAGGGAGATTAGAAAAGCTGCTTTTTGGGACTGCCCAAATCTCTGGGTAACAAAATGCTAAATGATTATTCATTGGCCGGGTGCGGTGGCTCAAGCCTGTAATCCCAGCACTTTGGGAGGCCGAGACGGG